CTCTGCACTTTTGCCCCTTATTCCGATTCCCCCTCCCTTTCTCAAAGATCGATCTCGACCTACGGCGCGCACGTCTCGCGACATGTTGCGCCAGAAGTGTGCCACGATGCATCCTGTTTCGGTCCCCTGGATCAATTCGCCTTCTACTTTGTTGTCTTGATAGCTCGTTTTCGCTTCTCGAACAACAACGTTGTCAAAATTGAATCTCATACCCCCCTTCGCAGCAACAAAGGCAAGTATTTCATTTTAGGTGGTGGCCTGGAAAATGAAAGTGTGGGCGGACCGAATGAGTTTCCTACGCGACATGGCGTCAATATCCGTAGTACGACGAAAGCGCATGCGGTGAATCCAGGAACAGGCAAGTTCCATGTTGCCCCAGATTTGTTCGACAATGCGCTGTTTTCATCCTTTTTTCTGGTTCGACTTTTTTTATCTTCTTCCTGTCTTGATCGCTCTTGTTGCTTCTCGAACAATGTCGGAAAAACCAAGTGTTAGGGTCGACGTGGCAGGAACCAATGGCATCATGTTCATTTCAGGGAGAGGTGGTTTGTAGTGAAAATGTGAGTACGACCTAGAGAGCCAGTATGTCGTGATACGGCCAAAACGCATACGTACGCCGATGCACCACCACTCTATATTCTCCAGACGTGTGCGAATATGTGCAACCCTGCGTGCTGTTTCTCTCCTCTTCACCGGTTCGCCGTCTTCCTTGTCTCTCTCACTCACTTTTTATATCTCGCTCACATTTTGACATCTTCTCGACCATGCCTTGACAAAGTCGAATCTCATGTAGGAATTCCAATGAAAGTTTTTCATCAGAACACGAACGGCATCATCAGCACCACATAATTTTTCTTTGTTTGTTCGATATTTATTGTTAGTATTCATTTTTCATTTTGTGTATTTTTTTGCGATGTTCTTCCATTTAGTACCTGGCCTAGGCCACGGTTAGAAAAGTAGTGTGACTGACTGAGTGAGCAGCGTCCGGGACGACTGTTTGATTTGTGACCACAACAACGAACGTTGACCGGCGAATTTCTGTACGTAGCACCACGTCCTTTCTCTTCCACAGATAGATGGAAATTCGCGGTAGATCACCAAAGGCTTTAACGTCTTGTACGGTGACCACCGTATGTATATATTTTTAACAACGTATTTATAAGCTAGTACGGTTGTTTCCCGAACAACTCTTGTTTTTTTTGTTGTTTCCATCCGCCGTCGGGTCGTGATCCGTCAAATCAATAAACTCAGCCAGCAGCTAGTTGAACCCGCTGGCAAACAAATCATCTTCAGACAGGCAACGCCGACGATACTCGTCGCGTTGATCTACCACAATGAATGATAACATGACGTTATTTGTCTAGGTTAGATGGTACATTCTATATGTTGAGGCATCCTCACATGGATGGGTACAATACGGAACACATCGAATGGACGAGTATGTCTATGTTGAGCAGAATTTGGTTGAAATTACCTGCAGTTGGTCGTTGGAGGGCAAACGAAAAAACTTCTAATTGGTATTATTTATGCTTATGGGAAAGCTGACAGGAGGAGGATGGTGAAAGAATCAGCCCATTGGCCACATTTTTGTAGGAGGGCAAGATTCGTCACCTCAACAACCTGTCAGTAATACGCCCTGAATTGGCCCGAAAAAGCCCTTCGGGCCCTAAAAGGATATGTTTTCGACATGACGAACACCTCAGGGCAAACACAAAACCTCAACGAGCAGGGGCCCAAAAAACGAACCTGGGGCGAGCACGGGGGGGTGTACTCATAGTCGTGCACGCCGTAGTCGTTGGGCCATTGACCTCGCATCCGTACAAAGCCGGGAAGGAGCACGCCGGGTTCTCACCGGACCAGGTTCTCACATCACCACGCGCGAAGCACCGTGAGGTATTCAGCCAGTCGCATGAAGGGTGCGCTGCATCCTGCTAAGGGTGTTCGGCATCTTGTGCTTACTTCCTTGCGTACGGATGACAGCTGCGTATGACTTAATATATTTTCTGGTGCTTCCGAGCGACAGCTAGAAGCACTGTGTAACTGCGTCGAGGGTGCTTGACCAATTTAACACAACGTGGCGCGATCATCTCCTCTCCTAGGAGTGAGGGTTCTCGACCCCGCATGGCATGATCTACGCGACCACCATTCACTATGGTTACCCCAAAAATATTAAAAAAAAAAGTCAGAGGCAATAAAACGCGGTAACCTGGTGGCCGAGCTCACGAAGTGACCCGCTTGTTGTACAACGTCGTTGCCAAGCGACGAAAACCCAACCCGATGGCAAACGGCTCGGGGGGGACGGGGGGGGTGTACTCATAGTCGTGCATGCAGTAGTGGTTGGACCATTGACCTCGCATCCCTACAATGCCTGGGACGGAGCACGCCGGGTTCTCACCGGACCAGTCTCTCACATCACCACGTGCAACGCGCCGCGAGGTATTCGGCCAGTCACAGGGTGTGCTGCATCCTGCTACAGGTGTTTGGCACCTTGTGCTTACTTCATTGCTACGGATGACAGCTGCGTATGCTGTTGCCTTCACTTCCGGAGGACAGTTGTAAGCATTGTGTAACTGCCTCGAGGGTGCTTGGCCAATTTTACACAACGTTGTGCGATGATCCCCTTTGCGCGGAGTGAGGCCGCATAACACGATCCACTCGACCACCATTCACTCATTGATGACCGGAAAAAAAAGAGCCAGAGGCAACAAAAAAAACACGGTCACCTGGTGGCCGAGCTAACGAATTGATCGGCTGGTGTTACAACGTCGTTGCCAATCGACAAAACCCAAACCCGATGGCAAACACCGAGGGGAGGGGGTAAGTGGGGAGGTGTACTCATAGTCGTGCATGCCGTAGTCGTTAGACCATTGACCTCGCATCCCTACAAAGCCGGGACGGAGCACGCCGGGTTCTCACCGGACCAGGCTCTCACATCACCAAGCGCGAAGCGCCGTGAGATATTCGGCGAGTCGCATGAAGGGTGCGCTGCATCCTGCTAAGGGTTTTCGGCATCTTGTGCTTACTTCCTTGCGTACGGATGACAGCTGCGTATGACTTAATTTATTTTCTGGTGCTTTCACTTCCAGAGACAGTTGTAAGCACTGTGTAACTGCCTCGAGGGTGCTTGACCATTTTAACACAACGTGGTGCGATCATCCCCCTTGCGCGGAGTGAGGGTTCTCGACCCCGCACAACATGATCTACTCGACCACCATTATGGTTGGAGGCGGCGAACGCGTCTCCCGAGCGTCTTAAGGTCGGTCCGACGCACGACAGATTCCGTAGATGTCAATCGAAGTATGCTGAAGAATGCGAGGTTCTAGTAGTCTTCACGTCTTCCTTTTCTAGACCCAGGTCACCAACACCACCTCCACCATTAGCTGGGTAACGAGACGCCCGTGTCCTCCAAGCACACCAGAGCTTGGCCTCCCACCGCTGATTTCGCCGAAGAGTATCTCGAACTTGACGGACACCACCCCGCCCGCGGGGCACGCCAAGTACTCCCGAGCAGAACTCGCCAGCACTTCTCCCGCCGGGTGCTTGCTCCGGCAACGGGTCGGATCCCACCCTGGTCGCCGAGTTCACGAAGTGAATTGAATTGTTTTACAACGTCGTTGCCAAGCGATGAAAACCCAATCCCGATGGCAAACACCGGGGGGGGCGGCTTGTGTTACAACGTCGTTGCCAAGCGACGAAAACCCAACCCCGATGGCAAACACCGGGGGCGGGCGGGGGGGAGAATTCAAAACGTTGCCACGAGTCTTGATGAATGGTCGAAAATTTCCATGAGGTACATTTACTGTAGTAGGATGGCAAACATGCCTCGCTCTCGTTTCCCGTTCTACGCCTGCTCGTCATCGATGCCGGCCCACGCCGAAATAAGCACCATAGGTTGTGTAGCGGCTCGTATCTACGAAAGTACAGTAGTATCGACCAAAGCTCGAAATGAGCCAACCAGCTCAGCAAACAACCCAATTCTTTTGGAGCAGGTCATCGATCAGGTTTCACGAGTGTTGACAGCCATCCCATTGAAACACTTGTCTTACAAACTTGCCCCGGCCGCTTCTAGCGCAAAACAACAGGGAATATTGTCTCGCACATCAACTCGTACCCTTGGTCTTGCAGGGTTGGTTACGTTTGTCTTGACCAATCGGCCTCACGACCGACTGGCGGGCTAGCGGCTTCTCCTAGATTTTCAAGGGGGTAAGCATGAGGAGATTGCGAAGACGACCCTATAGTGTGGAGGGCGTCTGTCACTTCTCGGGCGGTCTCGACAGCTCTGCACTGCCAGCAGCGCCAAGGGCGATGCACACCATGCGAGAGCCGGACACCAAGGCGCAGACGCCTCGGCGCAAAACCCAAATCCTCCAAATCACTCGTCCGCCCCCCCAAGGACCCCGGATTTCGATTAGTAGGCCTGTGCCATGATAGTATTTCCACGTGTACCGTTGGGGGAAACATTTACATTTAGACTAGAATATGATTTGCACACGGCACCCGGGCCATCAGAGCACAGTAGAGACTCACTCCCCGGAACCCTTGGTGACGAGCCCCTGGTTCCGTGCCAATGTACGCCGCCGGTCAAGCTTGAGCTCCTCGCTAGTTGGCGGGAAAAACACCTCTCTCTAGCCCGTGGAGCGTTGCGAGCATGCATGTGTCATTTGTGGGTGTGGGGAGTCGCGTAAGGTACTCCTGGTGGCATCGTTGTCGCGGCGTCCTACATAATGCCTGGACACGCAGCCGCCATCTAGAACACGAGCGACAAAGTACAGCAGCAGCAGCAACACAAGCAGAGCAACAAAAACAGCCGCGACACGCCAACAACATGATGAGCAGGAAGTCACCGACCAGGTAGATGCGAAGTCTGGGTGTCGCTTTTGGCGCGGGAAAAGAGCGAAAATGCAGTGCGCCCCGCGAGGAGTGGTATTTCATCATGTCGCATGACGCCGTAACACGCACAACCACCACCTGCTCTATCGGACGGGATTTTCTGTCACCAGAGTTCGAGATCGAGTGCATCCCCGACCAGTACAAGGAGGTTGCTGTCGGATCTGGCACCATAATGATTCGTCTGAACACCTGGAAGGCCACTGTTGGGGAAGCAGAAACGGCCGTTTGGAGTTTCGACGTGATCAACGCGGTCGACGGGTCCAATGTCATCGATTACCTCTACCCCTTCCATATTGGGCAATCTGGCAGTGACCTTTACACCATCAGCCTGATGGGCGGAGCTGGTACTGAAGTGATCGCCACCGTCACCGCCTTCGATGCGGCGGGCAACACGGACAGCTGCTCTTTCTTGATGATGCTTTGGCCAGAAGGGAGTGAGTTGAAACGATCGAAAAATACACAGGACGCTATGAGAATAGGAGGGCCGAGGGAGCCGAGTTGGAATGAATCGCGGTTTCCTGTGGTGCGGTAGGCTCAGCCAATCAGTCGGAGTTTCGGGGGATAGATCCGGCACTGAAAAGTTCCGGTAAGACGTATTTACAGGGTTCGGAAGCACCGAAGAAAATGATTGAGTAGGGACAACTCAGCACTGAATGATCGTGCTCGTTCCTAGACGCCTGTCGCGTGCTCAAAGATGCGATAGACAACATCGGCGTGGATGGATGCTCATATCTCCATATTTTGAGGTGCTTTGATATGGTCCATCTTACTCGATCCCACAGTTGCTATCAACTTCACGTACCGCCTCGATATCGTGTTCACGTCATGTTTTTCGGCTCCGCACAGCTCCGCTTCCTACCGACGAGCCTGTGTCTACCCCACAGCCCACGCCAGAGCCGGTAAGCCCTACTGAAACCTACGGTTGAAGCTTGTAGTTTCACAATAGTTACCACTTCTCGGTGGCAAGACGTACACAGCTTTGGAGTCTGCGTCGCTCAGAGGCCTACACCTTGGTGCTGCGTTAGGTAAAACATGTGTAAATACTCTCTTTGGGGAACGATGCCATCAGGTGGTAAAGGCGCTTCAATGTTTCGGTACCCCGACAAGGCGCCCCCCTCAGTTCGGGCCAATGCATACAAAATGGACGCCTTGACTTGCTACGAGACACCATTTTATGGTTGTTGCAAGTTCATCGGCCCAGGCGTTGCTTCTTCTCCCAGTTAATTCAACCTAGTACTGAACGTAACATCATATTGATGCAACCGCCTGCATCCGCTCGATTTTGCAGCTTCCACGAGACTTTGGGAGGATGAGAATCCAATTATTTCGACAATCCGTGACGAGTTGCTGCATGCACCCACATCGGGCGTAATAGATTGCTGTGCAACGGTCACCGCAAGTCTTGCCTTTTTTCCTCGTCGTGGCTTTGTGGGTCCCTCGTCTGCACGCTCCTCAGGTTCCCCCGACACCCGAACCCGTGGGTCCCACCCCCAAACTGGTAGATCTCTAGGTGATATTCTTCCATTGTGCGGAAACCCGCCAGTAGCAACCAACCGACGTTCGGATTTTGACTGGGAACTGCAATACCTACGTGTGCGTGCAATTTCCTCAAGCAGGACTACGCGATACATGTTATGAGCCTCAGCAATTGACGCAATTCTCCTCTTTATCCTCTCTGTGTGCTGTTTTCAATGTTGCCAGGTCGCACCGACTCCCGCGCCCATCGTGCCTACCCCTGAACCGGTATGTATGACGTCAAAGCAGACAAACTGCGAAACTTAGCTTGCTTCGGCCTGCCTGGTGGATGGATCGACCTGTCGTGCAGAACACGAGTTGTTGCCGTTTCGCGACGGTCGCGGCGGCGTGATCTTCTATCCGTCGTGCGTGCTTTCGACGAGCAGAACAACCGACCGAAGGCATATAATGTTTTTTCACCGTTCTGTATCTCAACTTTGAGTACGTGGGAAATAGCTTGTAATTCACTAAACCTCACCAGCATGAGGCCCACTCCCCTTTGGCCGCGAAACTTGCTCTCCATGTTTTGCCGTCTCTATGAGCTCGATAGGTTGTCCCGGGCTGGGTCCAGACGCCCGTACCGGCCGCATCCACCACCCCCGAGCCGGTTGTGATTCCCCCTACCGCCGGCCCTTCAACTGTCCCGGCCACCTCCCCTCCGGTCAGCCCCCCTTCAGGCGAGCCCAGTGCGGCCCCTGTGAGTCCTGCCCCGATGGAGGAGCCCACCTCGTCCCCCATCGCCGTCAGCCCCGCTACTGCCCAACCGGTTTCCCCTCCTGAAGAAGAAGATGACAACAACGCCGAGTTCGTCGAGGCAGGGAGCAAGACTACCGTCGGCGTCACCGCCACCGCCTACGACGACCGCCCTGGGGAGAGTGCCGGGGACGTCGGCTGCGGAGAGATGGGTTGCCTTCCTGACCTCGCCCACGATGGCGTCGGCGAGGAGGACACGGAGTCGAGGTGGTCGTGCGCCGAGGAGATCGTGCCCGACGGAGGCCAGTGCGAGATCTCCTTCACGTTCGACAGCCCCCAAGACATCACCGACGTGCAGGTTGCCTTCTGGAAGGGGGACGAGCGCACTCGCACCCTCAAGGTGAAATATCAAGAATGATGCGGTTAGGCAGTAGTCTTGTAGCTTATGGTTGTCGAGCTAGTCTAAACAATGTGGACCACCTAGTACGGGGAAATGTCTCCCATAGAGCCTTTGATTTGTGGTATGACGATATCATACTCCACGCAGCTCGCCCTTCACGCCGTACGTCGGCTCACGGTATCATACGTGCTTGGTGCCAAGTATTGTCTTCCGGGTTGGAGGACTAGACACGATTCGTCCTGACGCTGGAGGGATGCGAGGGCTATCATCAAGTGACCACCGAAGGCTAGCTGTAGGAGTTGACAGGATATCTACGCTGGTGGCTCTAGATGCTGTTGGTCTCTCGATTGCTCTTGGTACGCCGGGTCCGGCTGGTGCCTCTGTTGTTTTGAGCAAAGGTGTCCCTTCCTCGCCCTTCTTCCCACGAAATCCGCATGCGGTCCATCCCTCTGGCGTTTGATTGTGCGGATGCCGCTTTTTCTAATGACAGCTTCACATCCGTCGTATAACCGTTTCCGCATCCCCGACGCACCACAAAGCCAGTAAGGCGGGGAGCAACGCAACCACCTGTGCCTTAGCAGGCTTTTCCAACCACGGCGCACCTTGTTCGCAAAAATATCGGTTGGAAGTAGCCGGAGCTTTCAATACCTGATACACATGCCTATAGACTAATAATGCGTCGCCACCATCCGAACCGCTCTCCCTGAAACTGCAGGTAAAGATAAACGGTGACAAGATCGGCGAGTACGAGTCCTACCCCGGATCTACCTTCAACTCGTTCGGGATCCAAGAGAACGGCGTGCACACCGTTACTATGGAGTCCGTCGGCATTGACAGGGACGACTGGATCAGCCTGCTCGAGGTACCAGAGCAGGCATTGCAGTGGATTCTTGTCAGGACCGGTAGAAATGTGTTCGCCGGCGCAGACGATCAGGTTACTCGCCGTTTGGCCATTTGGAGCGCTGTCCAAAACGAAGTCTACGCCTCTTGACATTCAAGAGCACAATCAGGGGCACCCAATACGCCCCTTTTGCCATGATGCTCGGCACCACCAAATATAGTGTTCGCCTTCCCGCGTTTGGTCGCGAGTGAACAGTTTGGAGAACTAGAGCAACTCTGTGGAGCTCGGGTCGTAATTAAGAAGTTAACCTGAACTCACAGCTTTCATCTCGATACTCTCTGAATTATTGCCAGGTGCGCTTCATGGTGGACCCTTAGGCGTCACTCACCGATCCGTCAAGCCCCACGAACACCACCTTCATCCATCATCATCAGCGCCAACTTGTGGAATATTTGGACGTTAAGGGACATACCGTAGATGATGCGGACAGTTCGATGGGAAAGAACGAGTGTTATCTCCTGCATGGGTTTTCGGAATTAGTTGTACTGTACGTCTCGTGGATTGATCACGCAAACGCGAACGACTAAATGGAAACGGGGAGGAGTGTTTTGGGGAGCAATTAATGTGTCTGATATTTGATTCGGATTTTGTGGGGAGAATATATTGTGTGAGAAATACGACAGTGGTGTGCGCTAGATAACGTTAGGGAGGACTGAACCGAGCGGCAAGGGGGGAAGACATGTTAGCAAGTGTTGGATAGAGCACGTTACGTTTGATGGTTCCTTAAATGCCTTGCGGCCCATGCGTCCTTCATCTCCGTTTGATGTTGATCATTCCTTTTGATTCGCTGGACGATATTAACAGAAGCTGGACAATATCAGCAGAAGCGCCGGTGATTCAAAGGTAACATTTGTTGTGCGCATTTTCTCGAGAGCGACAGAGTTAGCTCACCGCGAGGCAACCGTGCCTTCTAGTCGAGCGTGCTATCAAGGTGAGAAGACGGGCAGACTGCTGTCTGTTCGCGCTTCAATTGTTTTGGTCGGTGAATCGTCACATAAAGGTTCTATCCCCTAGGCCAAATAGGTGGTCAGCTCTGACTGTCCTCCCTACCTGAAGATCCAAGTTTGAAGACGAATTGCCGTTGTTGAAGACGGACGGACTTTTGAAGGGACACAAACCAACCCACACCACGGCCACCATTACCAGGACCGATGGGGACCGCAAAGTTCTTCGCCGCCGAGACGATGTCTCGCCATAAAATAACAAACGGGGTCGGTCATGCATTGCACGCTGCTTGTCCCCGTGCGTCCTGCTCTCCGACCCAACGGGCCAAATCCACCCCTGCGTGCTACTATACATGTGCCCCTCGAAACAAGATCTCAGCACCATCGTCTCCAACCAGCTGTTTGCAACCACACCAGCCTCAAGTCTCAGTGTTCTTCGAAGTATTGCAGTGCCTTCTTCACTTCGTGCGGGGAATGATTTGGCACCGCGAGGGGGGCACGTGACCAACTCCCCAAGAAGGGCTTCCCAAACAAACAGCAACACCCTCTTCGCTTGGTTTCTGACCGACCCCATCTTCTTCTACAACTCCTCGATCAGCTTTTTTCGCCGGCCCTTGCCCTCTCCCCCGCCGCCGCTGCCGCCAGCGCCAGCGCTGCTTCCAACCGCTTCCGACGAGGGAGGCGGAGGCGGCGGCGGTGACCCTACCACCGCCTTCCCGACACCAACACGGCCTCCCGGGAGGATCGGCGCTCCATGTTCTCCGAGGCTCAGACCCGACAGTTTGCTCGTAAGAGCCGATGATGACGTCACGCCCCCTCGCGAAGCCTTGTCTTCGAGCGATTCTAGCTGTAGGAGGTCTGTGTTTCGCTCGACCGCTCGGGAAGCGGAGGGCTCGCTGGCGTCGTCGTCGTCGGCACCAGTTCTGCCGGGAGCTACGGCGGTAGTTGTGGACCGTCGAGGGTCCCTCGCTTCACCTTTTCCACCGCTGTTGTTGGTGCTGCTACCGTTGGCTTTACCTCCAGTCGTTGCGGCTGCCCCTGACGCGCCCGACTTCGCCGCCTCATTCGGCAATGCAATTGCATCCGTGTCAGCAGCGGCAGCAGCAGCAGCAGCAGCGCTAGCGTCATGTGCAGCCGCAGGCGAAGCGAGGGCCTCGCTGCTGTGTGCCTGTGTCGAAGGAGTCGCCGGCGTCCGTCCGATGCCACCTCCCGATGCTTCATCGCCGCCCGGCTGCGCGTCGGCTTTCTTCTCCTCGCCGCCGCCGCCGCCGCCGTCGTCTTCGTCGGTGCTGCTCTCCTCGTCGGAGCTTTCTTCGGAACTTTCCTCCGAACTTTCCTCGGAACATTCTTCATCTTCATCCGAACTCTCTTCTTCCGCCGAACTCTCTTCTTCGTCTTCCCTGCCGCCCTCCCCCACTGCGATCATCCTCTCGGCGTCAGCCTCGATCCTCTCCAGGTCCAGGCACGCCCCGCTCTTGGTGATCGAGGCCGCGGCGGCAGCGTAACGCTCCGCCAAAGCGGCGAGAGACTCCTCGGAAGCCTGCACAAAAGAAGGAGAGTAGCGTTTGTGGGTGTGGTGGAATCCCGTACTTGTTTGGTCTGGATGACAAAGAGGTGTGTGGGAAAAAAAAAAGAGACTGTTCTCAGAGAGAACTCAAGATGAAAGAGGCGTGTAGGAAATTCTAAAAATAATGTTCTTTCAATTGGTGCCGGCGCCGAGCACGGGGGTTCGCGGGAACAAAATCGTGTCTCTCGCGCGGCGGGGACCGGAAAGACCTGGAGAGGCCGAGGAGTGAAACAAAGACTACCACCCACGCTTCCCGTCCGCAAAGAACCGGTGTATCACCTCGGGTTCTGTCTCTCAAACGGCATGTAGAGTCTCATCGAAACTACTAGCTACCAGAGAGGTAGAATTGTTGTAACCAAGTTAACCCGAACTTCCGCGCGAGAATAGCTTGTTTGTAGCAGAAGGGGAAGAAGTATGGAATTGCGTGGAAACATGTTCGCGTGCAAGGGGTCCCTAGTAAACCCCACGCACCTTCTGAATCCACACGCAGTAGTCCTCGATGAAGAGCTTGTTCAGCAGGTAGTGCACCTCCCCCCTCTCCATCAGGGCGTACGTCTGCGGTGGTTACCCCGCACGTAAACACGAGAGGGAGTTTTGTTCGTCAGACCTCGGAGAATGTGTGAAACAACACGCGGCCAAAAGTCATCAACTGTACTTGTAAGGAAGCAAGGCTTGCTGCAGGACCAAACATTGAAAAGGCAGAAGAGATAGCTAGTCATGCTTTGCCTACCAGGGCCGCAACAGCCTTGAGAACACCTGGCAAGATCCTGATGGGCGCAAAATGCGATGTATTCGGAGCAACCAGTACGAGAGAAAAACCAACGGGAAGGAAGGCTCACCACTGTTTGCCTCCTTGAAGACGAGCCGAGCCGTTCGTCTATTAGCCCACAGAGAAGGATTTCATGAGACAGCCGTGGGCAGAGAGCACGGACAGTGCCATGGGCATATTTTCCCTATGACGTCATGCTGTGAAAAAAAACGCTCTCCCCATTCTGTCTTTTACCTTCGGATGAGGAACGGAGTATCATGTCGAGACCAACGTGGACCCGTGAAACGAGCCCCCCCCCTATCTGTGATGCCTCCACAAACACCAACATCACGGCTCCGTTATACAGGTGAGGCATGACGCAACACTTGTCGGACGTGCCAGGATGCCTGTGCACAGGGGGTGAATACATGGCCATTTTCGTACCTTCTGTTCTCTTCACAACCCTTGTCTGACTCCCGCGACTCTACAACCACGTTGTGAACCCCTTGCACGAACCCCCTTGCACGAACCCCCGCAACCGTGAAACCTTTTGTAGCCAACGCATTCCACACGGCTCGCCCACACGTGATATCCTGCTGAAAATGTTTAACCTTTTCATGGGCTGGCGGGTGTCGCGCGGTCGATGCATCCATGGCACACACAAGCACATACGCCTCCTCACGCGGTATCATGGCCTTTCGAAGGATGTCATGTGTTCAACCACACTAAGACTGACGTACATTAATTGGCCAGCCGACCAGCACGGTCGATGGCAACAGCAACACCTCTCTCACGCACACACACTCACACTCACACTCTCTCACTCACACACACACACACACACACACACACACACACCTGCAACAGGCAGCGCAAGATGCATCGCTTGCCGGCCGCCAGGATATCCCTCACGTCCCTCGCCACCAGAGCACCCAGCTCCCACACCCTTAGGTACGGGAAGATCAGGCTGCGGCGGATGCCGGCCAGGGCCACGTCGGTCTCGGCGGAGACGTCGGTGGTGACAGGGGATGACTCCGCGACGTCCCCCCCCTCCCTAGGGGTCTGGAGGACAGAGAGCAGTCGGGAGGCGTGGCGGCACGATTGGTCAAAAGTCAGAAAAAAGGCGGCAGGTATGTGCATGTGGGATGGGCAGCTGGTTGCCGCACGAGGCACGAAATATCACATCACACGCCCCGGACTGATTTCAAAAGCCCTCGCTACTCTACGGCAGAGAATGGAGGCGTTGGAATCGTCTCGTCGAGAGCTTTCCAAAACTACATATGTGACTTGTACACCCTCTTCGTCTTGGAGTCATGGAGATTTGAAAATCGGTCCGGGGTGTGTGTGATATCTTGTGTAACTGGCGACAGAGGCCAAGCCAGTCGAGGGTGAGGTACACGGCAAACTCGAGGCCTTCAGGGGGGGGGGGCAGCAGCGGTAAAAAACAACACCGCGCACAAACATCCCCGGGGTGGGGAGACCAAAGGAGAACCGGTAGTGCAGCAAGAGGCTACTACAGTACCATGGCACGGCTTCACGTGATGCAACCACACCAAATCATCATCAACGCCGACAGTGACGGCAGCGACAACAGCAATCGCACGGATCGATTGTCCCAAAACACACACACACGCACACACACCTCGAGCCAGCTGAGGAGAGGGCTAAGAACGGCCACGGTCCAGGGGCTCTCGACGGTGGCGTCGCCCGTCGTGGTCCGGTGGTCGTACGCGTAAGCGAACAAGATGTCGGCCAGGCCCAGCAAGACGCGCCTCTCCTCCGCGCTTCCGGCTTCGATGAGGTACTCGCGGTTGGGAAGACGCCTGTTATTGACGGTGTGTTTTGCGATAGGAGGGGCAAGGGTGTGTAAGGCGCCGTTGTGGTTGTGGGCCTTGTGTGTGTGAGTGATTGTTCAGAAGTAATGTGGCTGTGGCCGTGCTAAATGACCAACGACAAGACGCCGGTCTGACAGCGGAGGGAGAAATGTGAACACGCTCTCTTCGGGGGCGTACAAACATGAACTAGCATCGACCGCGCCAACCGGCCGACCAACGCAAATACGTCAGTCTGATACCAGAAAAAAAATATGCGAATACGCGGTCTCGTGTGTGTGTGTTTGTAACGTAAGTAGCACGGCGCTAACTTGCTAGCGAACGAAACTACGTTGCTCTGCTACCAAAACCAGCACGTTCGCTGGCTCCGCTCACCTCATCTGCTCCTGCTCCGCCTCCGTAAAACCTTCCTCTTCCTCGTCCTGTCCCCCATCCCCGCGGCCCTCTGCCTCCGCCTCCGCCTCAACAATGCCTTCTACACCTCCTCTTGCCCCCTGCAGCAAAGCCCCATCTTCTGGAGCTCCCTCTCCACCACCATCCCAGGCCTGCGACGCTCCTCTTCCTCCTCCTCCGTCAACCCCCTGCCGCCTATCCTCTTCCTGCCTGTTTCGCTTCTCTTGCTCTTGCGCTTGCCCTCTCCGCCGTTGTCGACGACGATGCCGCTGCTGCCGTGCTCGGAGCCTCAGCCGCCAGTGGGGCTCGAACGCTAGCGCTTCCGTGAGTAGCGGGTCTTCTTCCTCGGCGAAGAGGTCACCGAGGTAGCGGTCCGGGTCGAAGGCGGCTTGCTCGTGCTCTAGTCGAAGGCCTACGGGGGGCGGGCAGGCGGACACGCACGTCGGGAGAACGAGAGGAACAGAGGGAGGGAGGGAGGGAGGGAGTTGAGAGGGAGAGGGAGAGACGTGGAGGACGTGACAGAGAGAGGGAGAGACGAAACAACGCCAACACGAACAACAGCACACACCTCAGAATCAACGTCAACAACATAGAACCATAGCATCCTCATCAACAGTAACATCAACATTACCCAACCCCAACAGCAACAGCAACACCACACCACCCAACACCACCACCACCAACAACAACAACCGAGTGGTGGTATACTGTAGAGGCGCGTCTGGCGCACCTCGCCTGGCCTCAGGAGGAGTGTTGTCCGGGTCCGGTAGGTGAATCATCTCACGAAGCTCGTCCCTCAGAGACGTGAAAAAACCGCTGAACTGTCGAGAGTGAAAATCGGGCGAACCAAAGGAAGAAGGCGAGCAGTGCGGAAGCGGACAAAATGCCGGAATCCCCGACTCGATGGTGAAACGGCTTCAAAGCTTGGCATGTGTGGGGACACGGGGCATTGGTGCTCCGCGCGAAAAAAATAGCTATCGGCCCCCGCATACGAGCTTCTTTCTTCCAGGCAGGCAGGCACGACAAATGCGGAAGCGCTGAAAAAAACACAAGCGGTTGAGTACTCGTTTGGTCGCCACAGGGGGGAGCCGATACCACGAGGATGACTTTACAGCTGGCGGGGCGATGGAACCCAAATGGTGAAATGCTGCAGTATCGAGCTTCGGGGAGACGAACAGCTTTTCCCAAGCCGTGATGAAGCTATTTCTTGTCTGGCTGCGGGTTGTTCCTACTTAGCCGTTGACCAGCACACTGGGCTGGGCGGTGCTTACACATCTGCGCGGAGTGATGCTTGGTGCCGAAAAGGCACGGTGATACGTTGCAAATATACCATTCCATGGTGCCATTCGCACCAGCCACAGCCACAGAGGGAGAATCGCATCGACTAGAACTACCATCAAGAGGAGCGCCAGGCCAAAGCACCTTGTCATTGAACCCGTAACTCGGAGGCCGGATCAAGACCTTAGAGCCCACCCCGCCGCCCTCTCCTCCCGCTCGTCGCCCTTCCGCCGCTGCGCCGGCGCTGTTTCCCGCCATGGCGGTCCCTCCCCCCGGGAGGGGCGAACCACCACCGCCCTCCGCACTACTCCTACCGCTACCGTTGTTGCCCGCGGCTTCGTCGTCGCCGTCGCCATGGATATCATAGCGTTCCGACGACACCACCTCGACGCCGGAGAAGGAGGAGACAGGCACGTCGCCCTCGGCCCCGCCTTCGTCTCCGCCGCTCGGACGCTCTCTTGCCACGCGAGGGATAGGGGTCGGGGCAAGAGCGCATCGAATAAGGGC